CCCCCGCCCCTCCGCCTCCAGGCCAGCCTCAGAGAGGGTCCCCCACCCCGGTCCCAGCCCACCCCGCAGCAGGACCCCGGCGCTGACCTTCGCAGGAGAGGCCGTGGGAGGTGACTCCCGGGAGGGCTTCGCGGCACACGTTGCAGAAGGTGGGGCGGGCGTGGGAGCAGGCGTACCAGTTGTGCATGCCCGAGAAGTGCTCCATGTTGAACTGTGTGGCCTGCTGGGGGGCACAGCCCTGCCCCATCAGTCCCCTGGGACCCCCAGTTGGCACTCCCTCCCTCCTAGCCCCTCCGAGTCCCCTCAGCCCCACTCCCAGCTCCTGTCCTCCCCACAGGGCTGTGCCAAGGGCAGCAGCTCCTGTCCAGCAGCCAAAGGCACCCCCGGCTCCCGAGAGGCATGCACTCGCAGACGAGCACCCGTGCAGCCCCCCGCCCACATCACCTCGTGGATCTCCCACTTCTGGACAGATTTCAGGGCGCTGATCCAGTCCTCCATCTCCTTCCGGTTCTCCGCACATAGGATGAGCTTCCGGAATGGCGTGATCACCTGCAACAGCCATCGTGCCCTTGTCCCCTTGCAAGGCTGCCCCACGTCCAGTCAGCCCCCAGGAGAGCAGCCCCCAGCAACCCGTGACACCCCGCCGACGGTGCCACCTTCAGCAGCATGAGGCCACACTGCGGGGTGTCCCGCGGCTCTGGGAGGAGAGGGGGTCTGCAACGCCTCCCCACGAGGTGCCGAGGTGGGGGGGCACGGCAGGGGGACCCACACCTCCCTCACCGTGAAACTGTTGTTGATGTTCTTGGTGCTGGTCTCTGCCACACTGGCATCGGACAGGTCCACCTCATCAAAGATCAGGGACTGCAGGGGAGAAACCAGAGCCCCAGTCCACCAGGCAGGGATTTTGGGCTCCTCCCCAGGCTTGCACACTCAAGACCTCCAAGATGATCACGCTGGAAGCCTGGAGCCCCCCCAGCCTACCTTGGCATCCTTGGCATAATAGAGCGTCCTGCCTCGCAGCTTGAAGTATCGCCTCTTCCACCTCTGGAAGGAGCTCGTCTGCTTCAGCAACAGCCCCTCCTTCACACTCTTCTGCAGAGACCACAGGGTTGTGAGCTCCCACAGCCCCCAGGACCCACAATGCCACCCCCGCCCCTAGTGATGCCAGTCCCTGGGTCCCCAGGAGCTAAGCAGTGCCCAGAGCACAGATGTGACATTCTGGGGCTCACACCGGGCTGGATGTAGCAGGGTAAATTACGTCCATTGCCCGCCATACCCTGGGCACTGGCCACT